CCGATAATTACACATGTTTTCACCCCTATTCTGAAGCCGTTTGTGATGTGGAATCTCGTGTTTTAAGCCGATTTCACGCTAGGTTGTGTGTTTATGTCATATTTCAGGTCCCGGCGTTGGAATCGAGGCGGAGAAACGAGTTCTGGGTCGAAAGGAGCCGAGTTGGGACTAAGGGGGCTGCAGGAGGAAAATACCCGGTCAGGTGGCCAAATACCCGACCGGGTATTAACCAATTTTGGGCGCCCGAGAAGCAGAGAGGGGCCCGGGCACAGCAGTTAAATCCCCGGTCGGGTATTTTGATGTTGGACCGGGGATTTTCCCTAAAGTGGAACGTCGCGTTTTATGAAATACCCGGTCGAACCCTGAAATACCCGACCGGGTATTTCGACCGGGTATCGCGAGGGCAGCTGATAAAAGCCGGTTTTGTGCGTTTTTGCAAGGGAGAGCTGGGTTTTGGATCCCAAACACCCAAGGGACGAACCAAAGAGAGAGAGAGCGATTTGAGGGCATTCTTGGAGTGGAATTGGAGGATTTCTTCACCTTGGAAGCTCGAGGAACAAGCCCGGACTTGAAGACTGATCATCTGAAGATTCTTACTGCAGTCTCTCTCTTCTCTATGGAGTAACTTCCCTTCACTTAGGTTTTGAGGAACCCTAGCTATGTTTGTTTGATTGGATGATTGTATGAGTACTCTGACTTGATAATCTTGAGTTCATATTCAATCTATGCATGTTTTCACGATTCAATTCTGCTTTAGTCGAGATTATTGATTCTGCTTTGATCCTATGAGAGCGAATACCTGATTAGGTCAATAGAGCACCATAGATTGATAGTAGTGGATCGATTGCTTTAGTCGAGGGTTGATTCACTGCTTTGTATCGATTGAGAACCTCATTCGATAGAGGGAATCTAGTTCAGAACGCCTTGATCAGTTGTTCTAGAGAAGGATACGTCCCTCTAGGCAATTGACTCAAGAGGGCCTTGTTCCTTTAGTCGAGACTCAAGGTCTAGTTAAGGATTCTCCGCATTGTGAATGAAAGTGAAACATGTTAGAGATCATCAATCGTTAATCTGGCTAGTGGCTAGGGGGAATCATACCTAAGTGAGTTCCCAACCTGTAATTAGATTAACTTTAACTGTAGTTTGCTAGAGTAGTTTTAGTTCTTTCATCTTAATCTGGTTTGCTAGATAAGGAACTGAAGCTGAGTAATAGTAACTCTAGAGACCCGTGGATTCGATATTTATTACTTGAGCCACTATACTGCAGTCCCTTTCATTGGTTACACTTGGCCATTGTTAGGAGTTGTGTCATAGCGAGTCATTCCCAACCGCAAACCTCGAAACGTCATCGAAGCACAAATGGGGTCTACAATAGAGACAAGAAACACACTAAGTGGAGTCTCCATTTATTGTAAGGTTTTGAGAATCAATCGAATCCAGTACCAATTTAGACCTACAGAAACACAAACATCGAACCTTGGGGATCGGTGGGGTCCTCGTAATCCCGCGAGGCGACTGGGTTGTCTCGGCGGAAAACTGCCATAGTTCGTTGGTCCGCTGCGATCGTAGTAATCTTTATTAGAGGAATATGATGTTTTCTACTGAGTGGCGTGCTTAGGACCAGATAGTGACATACCTTGGCGCTAGGGTTTTCACCGTGGTCGAAAGGGGCAGTTTTTTTACCGCCAATGCCAGCGAAGATATGGAACGAGGTCTGTGTTGTCGAGGGAGGCAAGAGCATGGCTTAAGTAAATTGAATGCGGCGTAAAAAAGACAAGCCGGAAGGCTGATTTGGGCCTTCTGGCCCAATGGTTGCTGCTTTTGGCCACAAATGTACATACCTGTTATTCAAAGGTTTCATCTTCGGTTTAAACCAACAGGCAATCTCCAAATACGACTGCCTATACGATACATCTAAATACACAATCCAATGACAAAAACTTCGGCTTGGCTAATTTCTTTGGAGTGACATGATAATACACCATCTACTTGTCAATTTTCCAGTTTATTAATTTCTGTTTACTTTTCAATTGACATCGATAGCCAAAAGTAACCAGCAAACCTTCACGTACCTACTAATGTACTACGTGAAGGACATACTTACAAGCAAAAACCCTAAACCCTGAACCCTAAACCCTAAACCCTAAACCCTAGACCCTAAACCTTGAACCCTTAACCATAGACTCTGAAACCTTAAACCCTAAACCCTAGACCCTAAAACCCTAAACCCTAAACCCTGAACCATGAACCCTAAACCCTGAACCCTAGACCCTGAAACCTGAACCCTGAACCCTAAACCCTAAACCCTAAAATCCTAAACCCTGAACCCTAAACCCTGAACCGTAAACCCTGAACCCTAGACCCTGAACCCTGAACTCTAAACCCTAAACTCTAAACCCTAAACCCTAAACCCTAATAAAATCATGTTTGCCTTTTTACCTCTAGAGTGAACTTCTTGTTGTTATCCAACTCCACCAAGCAAACGACCCCTTAGTAATGACTAATTAGGATGAAATGAGTTGTTTGCTAGCTCGAGCCAGAATTTTGATCGAAATTATGAGCCCAAACTCAATAAATGAGTTGTGTCGTGTTCGGATCGTATTAGCTCGTTCATAAAAGAGCCGAGAGTGAGTTCGGCTTGGCTCATTAAAATGGACCATGTTTCTTTGGAGTGACATGATAATACACCATCAACTTGTCAATTTTCCGGTTTATTAATTTTTGTTTACTTTTCACTTAACTTCTATAGCCAAAAGTAACCGGCAAACCTTCAATTTTCACTTGACTTCAATTTTCCTGGTCTAGGTCTCTGAGTGGAGTTGCGGGTGACGATGGTATTCCAGGCTTTTCCCGGCGGCAGCGGCGGCATGGCAAGGTTGCAATGGCAGCTAGGGTTTTGATTTGTCTACTTTGGGCTCTCTGTGTTATGTGTGGCACTTGGGCTTTTCGGGTGGGCTTTTGAATTGCTTATCTGTATTGTAACAATTTGTAAGAGCCGGACCGGACCGGTGAACCGGACCGGGAAAACCGCCAACCTCCAACAAAAGCGGTCCGGTCTCTGTACTTAAGCGGCCTTTGCTGGGCCGAACGCTTTTTAGCGATCCCATAGTGAAACCGCAGAACCGGGACGGCCCTATTGGTCCAACGGTCTGCTACTAACAAAAGAAAATCATAGTACTACTATTATTGAAGCCAACGCCGACCTACACAAACAAGCAAACCTAATAAAGTTAGCTCTGACGTTGCAGTTGCTTTCCTGACTCCTACTGTTCTTCAACTTTTCTTTACCTAGAGCCGACCAAACTGCCTCCTGCTTCCATCGATTGCTCTCTCCACTCCACTATCTCTATCTGGTAATCTTTTCTCTAATTAATCAGCTGCACACACCTCTCTCTTTTGTCTTTTCTGCCCACATGCTTTGCGTGTGTGGTATGGGTTCTTCTCTGTTGGACAAAAGCTATATGCCTATTAAGTATTAACCTATATGGCTATATCTCTTTTCAATTGTATTATACAGTTACTTATATATATTGTGCATGGTGCTTTTCTTTGATTCTTTAAAATCATGGTCATGCGGATACTATTGATTATAAAGGCCCATTTATATAATAATTCATTTCATAGCCACATAAAGGAGCACGTAGTACAGTAGGGATCAGAAAGTATAATATACATAATTAACTAAAGTATTTTACATTTTAACTAAAGTGTTTATGGTTGATGGAAATTTCCTTTTTAATTAGTTTATTACAGGTTTTTTCTATATTATATGTATGAGCGGTTCTACATACGGTTCATCAACGGTTTTTTAACGGTTAACCAATGAACCATGAACCAGTAACTTTTCCGGTTCTCTTCATTTGGGCTTGCCCATACTTTGTACTCCTTCCTGAAACTGATTTCGTCAAAAAAAAAAAAAAAAAAAAACAATCTTCCACCTGTCTCCAATCGATGGTGTCTCTCTACTTTGCATGTCTCTCTACTCGTCGGTGTTAACACGGAATCGCCATCGCCTCTCTCTCTCTCTCTCTCTCTCTCTCTCTCTCTCTCTGATTGATGACATGCAATGATTGAGGTACTATTCAGTTGATGGGGTATCCCACTTGAGCAGATTGGATGTGTCTCAATAAAGTAGCGAGGGAACCAAGGTAGTTTATCGGGACTGCCATTCCCATTCCTGAGAAGTTTAGCAGAACAGTCTTTTCCCATTCCCTCCATTCCCTTTCTCTTTGGGGTATAAATGAACAGATTCTTTTCCCATTCCCTTTCTCAAAATCACCCCGCTTCCATCCGTGTCTTCACCTGCAATTCTGCAAGAAACCCTCGATGTCGAACCCATCTTCTTCGTGGATCGCCCAATTCAATCCGGGCGACTGGGTCGAGATCAGCCCCCACGACCCCGGGTTCCGCGGCTCCTGGTACGCCGGCACCGTCGTCCGCCGCGAGGCGAAGAACACCAATTGTTACGTAGTCGAGTACGACCAGCTCTACGAGGACGAATCTGGGGAGAAGCTGCTGCAAGAAACCCTCGATTGGATCCAATTGCGTCCGCCGCCGCCTCCCGAGAAGAAGAAGGTCCAGTTCAAGTTCGGCGACGAAGTGGAGGCCTTCTACAGTGACGGCTGGTGGGAAGGGGCTATTATTGCGGAGCACTCCGGCGGGAAATTCGCGGTGTTCCTCAGAGGCTTTGAGGAGCAGATTGTGTTTGAAGAGAAAGATTTGAGGTTGCCTGTTCAGTGGGTTAAAGGGAAGTGGGAGCCGCGATTCGAATAGGTTCAGCGGGAGAAAGAGGTGAGCTAATTCAATTTTATGACTTTTCCTGCTCCGTTGCTTGGTATAACAATTTTAGGGAATTTTGAATCTCGATCTAGTTAGGTTGAGGAAAGTAGAGAATTGGGTGATCAGAGATGGCATTTGTTCTTTTTCACAATGTCTCAACCTCGTTGAATCGCTTCATAAACATGCAGATGTGGCTAAACTCAAATTGTTCCAAGGAAGTGATGAAGTTCACTCAAGGAATGCAAGTCGAGGTGCTAACTGACGAAGACGGTTTGAAAGGTGCTTGGTTTGCTGCAACAATTATTGAACCTTCGGGTGAAGACAAGTACCTTATTGAGTACAAAACCCCGAGGAATGATGATGATACTGAGTTTCTCAGAGAAGACATTCGTGCTTGCAACATAAGGCCTTGTCCGCCGGAGATCATTGTTGTGGATGGATTCAAGGTGATGGATGAAGTTGATGCTTACTACAACGAGGGCTGGTGGGTTGGCGTGATTGCAAAGGTTTTGATCAACTGCAATTACGTGGTTAACTTTATAGAGTATGATGAGAAGATAACGTTCAATCAGGCTGATTTGAGGCCACATCAGGAGTGGTTAAACGACAAATGGGTTGTTCCTTCAGATGTCTGAATTTTATGCTCTCAATTCTAAAAACACTACTAGCCTTTGTTCTTGCATGTGGTCTTTCTCTTTCGGTGGTGTCTGTTACCGTTGTGCATCTGATGGTGGGTGTCGGTGGTGGGGTTTGGTGGTGTTATTTTTTTCCTTGCTTCTTTTTTTTTGGGTCTGTTGTTTTTTGGGTCTGTTGTTTTTGTAATGAAAGACTATAATAAATTTGGGTCTATTGTTTTTTGGGTCTTAAATTTGGAGGCTGATTTGGGCTATAATAAAGACTAAGCCCAACGAAGCAAATTAATGGATAATCTCCAACTTAATGCTAACAAATTAACGACTAATCTTCCAAAAAAATTTGCTAGTGGTTTGTATTATTTGTTTCTTTTACATACCACCCAAGCCATCCAAGTGCACTCCCATGGCAAACCCACGTGGAAAGTAATGAGGCAACTATGTATTTCCACCCCATTTTTCCTCTCATGGTCGGGTATAGACCAAACTAGTAACAAGCTGAGTCACCCTAGTTGACCACCCATGGAGAGTTTCTCCAATGACATGCACGTAGCAAAGGAAGTGATGGTTGACTTACATTTAGTTTCTTTGCTTGACAAACATAAATAAGGCCCTCCAATCTTTCCCTGTAGACACGTTGACATGAGGTGGACGATTACAATCAAAATGAGTTTCTTCAGAAACTCAAACTAGATGAGCAAACACATGAGCTTGGGACCACAACAAAGCATACAAATCTTCCTTCAACATATCCGAACAAACTAGAGAATCCTGTCGCATCGTATGTGTCTGACGCATACGAGTCGTTTCCAAGAGTGAACTTCTTGTTGTTATCCTACTCCACCAAGCAAACGACCCCTTAGTAATGACTAATTAGGATGAAATGAGTTGTTTGCTAGCTCGAGCCAAAATTTTGATCGAAATGATGAGCCAAAACTCAATAAATGAGTTGGGTCGTGTTTGGATCGTATTAGCTCGTTCACAAAAGAGCCGAGCATGAGTTCGGCTTGGCTCATTAAAATGGACCATATTTCTTTGGAGTGACATGTTAATACACCATCTACTTGTCAAATTTCCGGTTTATTAATTTCTGTTTACTTTTCACTTGACTTCTATAGCCAAAAGTAACCGGCAAACGACCCCTTAGTAATGACTAATTAGCGTGAATCTTAGAGCCATTTTTTAATAGTTTCATTCTCTCCTTTCCCATTTTAATTTCTAATCGTATGAAAAAGGAAAAAGAAATTCGAAAAGTGCAGGAGGGAACATTTGGAGCCTCTTTTTTCATTTTTCCGTCAAATTTCCCTCTCTCAACGATTTTAGTTTTCCACCCTATGAAAAAAATAAAAATATTGCCAACCCAACTTTACCTTTCTGACTTCCTTCTCTTCATTTCGTTCTTTCACCTTGCTTGTTCGTCAACCCGCCGGAGTGGAACCAAACCCTTCCCACAATCGTCACTTCGTTCCTTCTCCTTCTCATAATCATATATTGTAATCTCAGCCAAAGGTCGGGTTGTCGATTTTAGTTTTGGGTTCTCTTCCCATCGACGGCGGCGCTGCTGCATGCGAGTCCTGATGGAGGTATGTTCTAAATTCTCTGTCCTTTCTCTCATTTGTGTTGGTCTATCACTGATTTGGAGTTTTGACAGAATAGCCTTTGTACCAACGCGGAGTGAAGTTCTCGGGTCCTCAATTGTCCATCGATGAGGATTGTAATCAGATCCAATGAATCAAGCGGTCCATTCAATTTTTTTTCGTCCCTGCTCTTGATTTGATTGTAGGCTCGATAATTTTTGTTTCTGACCTCAATTAATTTCCATTGGCAAGCTGTTCGGATTGTAATCAAAGCGTTCAGAGTGGTTTGAGACCTGTGGCTGTGGTTGTTGCTCGGTTTTGCTCTGTGCTCGGTTTTTGACCTCAGGTTCGTTCTTCTGCTTAGTGCTTAGTGTTTAGTTCCAAGCTAGATATTTTTCAATACAGAGTGTTTTTCAACTAGAACACAAAAATAATCTGGACCAGCAAAAGTAGAGGCATACATTGTTGATTGGAAAAGAAGTTTAATGAACCTAAAACATGAACAACCAGGACCAGAAAGTATGAAAATACCCAACCAAACATCATAACATCCTCCAATCAAAGAACCTAACTCATCCATAGAGTATCAAACAAATGGCCAGATTCGAAATGTGTCTCCGGTTATTAGAATCCATGCCAATCTTTTCAACTAGCCTTCTTGCTGCTCCTCAGGCCTTCCCTTCTAGTACATGGCTTCTTCTGCAACATTGAATATATAAAGTTTAGTTCCAACGAAAATAATTGTTTCCCAAAAGTATTCTAGACATGCATAATGAACTTCTAATATTACAGTTGGTGGATCAGGGATGTCGGTTGTATCAACATCCTCTTCAGTATCCTCCTCTGATAACTCTGGACAAGTTCTGGCATTATGAGTATCCTTCCCACATTTACTGCAATGTTTTGGTTTTCTGCCAATGTGTGGTGCTTGCTGGTCAGCTCCGTTGTTGGCGACGTTTTCACTATTTGGTTCTTCATTAGTTTCAGTATCAGTAGGTTCTGGTATTGTAGGCCTCACATAATCAGGAGGCTTCTTACAAGTGCTTTTTTTATGACCCAATACGCCACATCTGCTACACATTCGTTGCTCCCCTTTCTTCCTTTTGTTTTCTTGTCCACCCGAACCTTTGTATTTCACAGGATGTGGATCCAAAAGTTTCTCTTTTGCCTTTGGTCTATTGATATGTGGGATCTCAGTATCACCTTTGTTCATCATGTCTAGCGATTCACATATGGATGCAATTTCTGTACGAGCAAGGTTGAAGCTTTCGCTTGATTTTGCCCCTTTTAACCATAACTGGGAGCTGCTTTGTTGAAGAAGCCCATATCTGAAAACCACATTCAATATTATTCTATTAAAACGTCACGAAAAAGTGAAAGCTTATGTTCTAAAACGGGTCAACGCCCTCTGGTACCACCTTAGTATTTAATAAACACATCTGAACTGCTTTCTTAAACACAGTAACACACAATTTCCAGCTTTATACAGTAACTACAAACCTGAATGTGAATAGTCTAGCCTCGTCCATATTGTGTGGTTGTTGTAAGCTATCAAGTGTCTTCTGCTTCTTTGACCACCTTAACTTTACCAACCATTCTGGAAGTTCCAGCATACCCTCTTCTTTCAGTAGATGAACCATATGAGGGCATGGTATTCCCATATAGTGGTAATAGTTACAACTACACTCCATAGCGAAGGGCTCAATTGTGTATGTGACATGAAAAACCTTTTGTTTACCTGACATTGTCACTCTGTAAATGCGTTGGTTTTCCGATATCTCTTAATCCATCCTTACACAAGCTCCCGACTTTTCAACCTCATCTCTGAATTGAAAAAGGCTTCTTTTGTGAATAATTTAGACGCACTCTTCTGAAGTGAGACTAATATATTAGACGTTATTGGTCGTTCACGATGGATGGACTCAAAATCAGCTTGTTGCTCCATCTCCCTCATATCCCTAGCCCAACGATCAAAATGAATAAAGAACTCAAGTAGATTATGATTGTTTTCGATATACTTGGTAAGCTGAGAGTTGATTCCTTCACATCTAGACGTTGTTGAAAAGCCTGCAAAGAACTTTGAGCGCAAGTATGTATACCCCCATTCAGTTCTTTGGTCAAATAGATGTGAAACCCAATTGTTATGCTGCTGTGAGCACTCCTCGACCATTGTTTTCCACTTCTCTTCAAATACTGAAGGTTCCCAATCAGCTGACACGAAATGTTTCCATTGTGGCAAGAAGTTAGGATTGTCCCTCACTTTTCTGGCAATAGTTTTGTCTATGTGCCAAGCACATAAACGATGTGTCGCATCGGGGAATACTTGCTGAATTGCATTGCGCATGGCTTTATCTCCATCTGTAACAACAGTTTTAGGATCTACACCGCCCAACCTTCTCCTCAAGGCATCTAGAACCCATACATAGTTTTCTTCTTTCTCATTTGCCAAAAATGAACATCCAAATATGCAACTGTTGAAGTGGTGGTTCACACCTAAAAAATAAACAGGTTATTAAAATTACTTCACTAATAAGACAAGAATTACACTGTACCCATAACGCATGGAAGTGATATTGCATTAGGCTCTTTAACGTGTGGTATTAAGTTTCAATGAATAAATTCTTTATACTTTATAGGAATGAAAATATAAGTTACTATGAACCGAAAATAAAAGAATTAGTACCTGAAAAAATGACTAGAGGCATATTGTAGACGTTCTTTTTGTAAGTCGCATCGAATTCAGGGCTCAGGTCTTGATAGTGTTTTCCTACTCAAGGTATATCGTATCCTGGATTCTACTCTCATCATATTATATTGAGAGTACTAATTAAACTTCAAAATTTGATGTATTATGGACACTTTTAGAGTCAGTGCACCCAAAAAAGTGAGTGCGCCGAAGTAGCCACTATATATATATATATATATATATATATATATATATATATATATTTAGAGTTTAAATATGAGCGTAGAATGTTGTGAGAAATCTACAAGTATATCGATAGCTGGTTATTGTAACTTCCACCCCTATTCAAATTTTCCTGCATCGAGAGTGAAGTATGAATGCTATTTTTGTCTTCAAAATGATCTATTTCTTTCTCATTTATTCTTAAAAGAAATGAAAGACATACTAGGATTCGAACCATGATCATTTTAAACAATGACAAACATCTTAACCAATCAGACTACATAGATTAGTTTTATCATTTTAAACATAAACATACATGAAGCCAAAATTTAAAAATCACATAACTTTTCTACGGTAAATCTTACTAATTGGTGTTTTGATTTACTCATCATTTGGGAAGAAGGTTTGCTATCCATAGAATCCGTGGAAGAAGATGGACTTTTGATACTTCAATTTTCATATTTAATTATTTTAATTATATTTTGATACTTAATTTATATTTTTATTTATCTTATAAGTAGAGGATAACTTTAAAATCATATACCAAATATCATTAGTTCAATATTATATATCGAATTTGTATAAGCGATGTTGAACTCTTACATTAGTATTAGTTTATAGAACTACTATGAGGCAATCATATTCATATCTTTCTACAAACAACATGAGGACGGGTTCTTTGAACTTTTTAGCTCGACTAGCCGTTAAGCTTCAAACATCTTCCTAATCTGACAAGCATGATTGGGTCAAAAAATCATTAGACGAGGTTGAGTTTGATAGGTTGGTTTATTTCATATTTTTCATATATTAAAATGAATTTGTATAGCAAGAACATGTCTACATATACACTCTACACAATATATACTATTGGCATGAAAAAATTGTCCTCACATTTTTGTCTTTTCCATTATTTATCTTTATTTTATATATAAAATAGACAAGTATTGGGATTCGAACTAATGTATTTTCAAACACAGACAAGAGTCATAACCATGATAGTCAATTTGAGTTTGACTCTGTTGGTCGAACCAATTCTACCTAAATCTGAGTATCTCAACGAGTGCCGAAGGCCTAGTTAGTTGTCTACTCGGGCTCAGTCCAACCCATAAAAACCCAATCAAATCGGGAAATCCGACCGATTTAACCAAATGATTTGAGCAACGGGCCACTTCAAAATGATGTTGTTTTCAACAATTTATATATGTAGCTACGCTGTCATATCATCCTTTTACTTATCACAGAACCCTACAACATGGAACATCACAGACCGTGTTAGACTATCCCATCGTCTCTTCTTCTTGCTTTAGATCAGAGAGCTTATAAAGACCCAACCATCTCAAAAGCCATCATAATTGCGCAATAGTAAATTTCATTTTTCTCCAATCGCACATTCATAGAGCCACTTGACTTCATCTCATACAAAGGAGAAAAAATTATCAAAGGAACTTGCATTTGAGTTGAAACTTTGTGTGACTAACAGATGTCAAATTTTTCATTTTAATTATTGTTTAATACTTAATTAAATTCCTATATATCTTATAAATAAAGGATAACTTTATAATCGTGGCTCAAATATAATTGGTTCGAATATTCCATATTGAATTGCAGTATTAAATGTGTAAAAGTGATGTATAATTCTTAAATTAGTATTAATTTTAAGACCTACTATGAAATAATCATATTCATATCTTTGTGTAAACTATATGGGTTTGGTTCTTTGAACATTTGAATTCGACTAACTGTCAAATTTTAAACCTCTTCATATTCTTACATGATTGGATCCAACAATCATTAGGAGTTTAATAAGTTGGTTCATTTCACTTTTTTTGTAATGTGTTAAAGAATTTGTAGAGAAAGGACATGTTTGTATATACACTCTACACAATAAGTAATACTGAAATGAGAAAATTGTTGTCTCAATTTTAAATTTCTTAAACAAGAGCGAAAGTAGGAATGATATTTTTGCTTCACAATTCTTTTGCATAAACTATCAACTTCCAAAACTCAGAAATTGTAGCTCAAACTAAAAATCAGAACATCGAAAATCAAAGTTCGCAAATGTTATTTCATATATCACTTACTTGAGAGATTTT